AACGGAGGCACAAAACGAAGTGTACAGACACTGGATGCCGTCAGCAACGCGCTCTGCAAGGTGGCTGATGCTGCGGAGCTCATCAGGTCTAAAACCCTAGGGTTTAGGGTTTAGGGTTTAGGGTTTAGGGTTTGGGATTAGACGGCAAGAACGAAGTAGTCATTTCCAACAATTAACCCTCGTGTCTCTGGTTCACAGTTTCGGGGTTAGGGTTTAGGGTTCAGGGTATAGGGTTTAGGGTTTAGGGTTTAGGGTTTAGGGTTTAGGGTTTAGGGTTTAGGGTTTAGGGTTTTGTCTGCAGGAATGTGCATCCCTGCTCGAAGTGGCGAGAGGCAGGAGCGCAGGTGGTTCAAGAAGTGCAGCACTTCATGAGCGTAGCAAACTTCAGCGACTCTGTAAACCCCAAACCCTAAACCCTAAACCCTAAACCCTAGACCTAAGACCCTAAACCCTAAACCCTCGAGCATAAGTACTGAATCCTGAGGGCTGATGAGTACAAGGGTTTGTGCTAAGCACACCTTCAAAGAAGCCTTAGGGTGTGGGGTTTAGGGTTTAGGGTTTAGGGTTTAGGGTTTAGGGTTTGGGGGTTCAGATATACCAACGGCTACGAGAAGAAGACAACGCTGAGGATTCAATTCGAGATGAAGCGGACCAGTGAGAGGGAAACCCTAAACCCTAAACCCTAAACCCTAAACCCTAGCCGCAAACCCTATCCTTATACTCGGTTCTCCTTGTTATGTGTTGCTCTTAGAGCACTATGGAGTGCCGTTGAAGTATTTTGAATGCCTTTCTATCTGCTGCTGCTGTTGCTGCTGTTGTTGTTGCTGCTGCTGTTGCTTTTGTTGCTGTTGCTTTTGTTGCTGTTGCTGTTATTGCTGTTGCTCCTGCTGTTATTTTTGCTGCTGCTGATATTGCTGTTTCTGCTGTTGTTACTACTGCTGTTTGCGCTATTGTTGATGCTGTTGCTGCTGCTGCAGATCTGGTGCAGCAGCAGCAGCAGCAGCAGCAGCAACAGCAACAGCAGCAGAGCTAACAAAGGAGGAGCAGGCGGCGCTGCGGTGTATGCGAGAGGCAATGGAGCAGCAAGGAGTTCATCTAAGCTCAGAAGAAAAAGTTAGAGACACGCGAGAGGGATAGATAGCTTTGCTGCTGCTGTTGCTGCTGCTGTTGCTGTTGCTGCTGCTGCTGCTGCTGCTGCTGTTGCTGTTGTTGTTGTTGGTGGTGGTGGTGTTGGTGGTGGTGTTGCTGCTGCTGCTGCTGCTGCTGCAGCAACACCTGCTACTGCTGCTGCTCCTCCTGCTGCTGCAGCAGCGTCTGCTGCATTGCCGCCTGATGCAGTGGCGATTTGCTGGGATGTAGGTTCACCTGTGCGAGGGTTTAGGGTTTAGGGTTTAGGGTTTATTGCGTTTGTTGTCCTCAGCAACGTTTGCTGCTGCTGCTTGAACAGGAGAGCAATGTAGCAGCAGCAGCGGTGCTTGCGCAGCAGCAAAGCCCCCGTGAGTGCTGCGTTTGTATGCAGCTGGCAGCAAACCCCACAACCACCTGCCTGCCTAAACCCTAAACGCTAAACCCTAAACCCTAAACCCTAAACCCTCAAGGGGCTGCCGAGGGTCTGTGAGGAAGTGGCCGTCTTTAGGGCTTTTGAAATATTTTTTTTTGCTCGGTTTGATTTTATTTCGTATCCGTTGCCCACCCTAACCAAACCCTAAACCCTAAACCCTAAACCCTAAACCCTAAACCCTAAACCCTAAACCACAACGTGTGCGTGCAATGCGTTTTGCTGCCTCTTTAGAAATTGAAGTATCTGTTGAGAGGCTCCTCGCTGCTGGGGTTCCCCCAGGCTTAATAGCTCTCCGTACAGCTGAACTGCAGCAGCAGCAGCAGCAGCAGCAGCAGCAGCGGGGGCTGTTCTCGCTGTGGGGAAGAAGAAGAAGCAGAAAAATAGATTCTCTTGTTATTTGTGCTGATGATGAATTTACAAAAGCTGTTCTCAGGTTCGAAACCCTAAACCCTAAACCCTAAACCCTCAGACGGTGATGTGATGGGGTGTATGTACACCTAAACAATGTTACTACTGTATTAAACCAATCTGCAATTCAAACCCTAAACCCTAAACCCTAAACTCTGACGTTTTAATCCCCCTACCCGTAGCGGAACAGCCAGCGGACCTTAAATCCTAAACCCTAGCCCCAAACCTTAAACACTGAACCCTAAACCCTAAACCCTATACCTAACCCTAAACCCTAAACCCTAAACCCTAATCGGGTGTCTCGGTTGTTTGTTTCTCTGTTGATTCGTTTATTCTTTTTTTAATTTAGAACTTGTACAGATGTGGGTCTGAGGCGCGAGTTATACTCCCTCAGCGACAATGATAAGGACAGAGTGAGGCCTATTACGGTTTAGGGTTTAGGGTTTAGGGTTAATCTGCGTGCGTTTATTTGTTCATTATCTATTGCTTTATTCATTTATTTAATCTATTTATTTATTTATCTGTTTCTATTTATTTATTATTTATTATTTATTTGTTTATTTTCTTAGTGAGACACCTCTTCGGCACTTAAATAAATAAATAAATAAATAAATAAATAAATAAATATAAATAAATAAATATATATATATGTATATAACCCAATAAATGAGTAATAAATAAATAAATAAATGTTTGATGATTGATTCATTTATTTTTTGTTTAAGCTGATTCCGTTTATAAAAGAGTAACAGTAAACGCGCTATGCTGCTTATTTATTTATTTATTTATTTTTAATTAATTAATTAATTAATTATTTAATTTGTTTATTTGTTTAATGTGCGTTTAATGCAATTATTTCTCGGGTGTATGCGCAGACAGCAGATTTTAAATTTCTTCACTTATTGGCGCTCCGTCAGCAATTAGCACAAACGAGAGGATTCAAGTCATGGGCTCAATTCGCTCAAAGGTTAACTGCTGCTGTTGCTGCTGCTGCTGCTGCTGCTGCTGCTGTTGGTGCTGCTACTGTTGGTGCTGCTACTGTTGGTGCTGCTGCGCTGCTGCTGCTGCTGTTGTTGTTGTTGCTTCTGTTGCTGTTGCTGCTGTTGCTGTTGCTGTCGCTGCTGTTGCTGCTGCTGCTGCTGCTGATCTTGGTGCTGCATTCGGTGCTGCTGCTGCTGTTGTTGTTGTCGTTGTTGTTTTGTTGTTGTTGCTGCTGCTGGGCCTGCTGCTGCTGCTCCTGGTGCTGCGCCTGCTGTTGCTGCTCCGGCGCCTGCTTCGGCTGCTGCTGCTGTTGCTGCAGTGCCTGCTGCTGCTGCTGCTGCTACTGCTGCTGCTGCTGTTTCTGCTGCTGCACCTGGTGCTGGCGCTGGTGCTGCTGCTGTTGTTGCCGCTGTTGCTGCCGCATCTGCTTCTGCCTCTACTGCTGCTGCACCTGCAGAAGCGAAAAAGCCGTGATTCAGGCTTTAGGGTTTAGGGTTTAGGGTTTAGGGTTTGGGTGTTTTGGCTTAGGGAAGGCGTCTTGCGAACCCCGGAAGCCGTTTCTACATTCTTAGAGCGAGTTGAAATGGCTTTGGAGGTAACCCTTAAACCCTAAACCCTAAACCCTAAACCCTAAACCCTAGGGGGGTTCTGGATTTGTGCATTGCTGATGATGGTTTGGGGTGTATGTACAGCCGAAGCTGCTGCAAGAATTGCAAACCCTCAAAAAGACTGCCGAGGGTTTACCTTCTATGTTTGGGGTTGAAGTTCCTCTAAACCCTTGGGATGTGCCTTTTGTAATGGAATGCAACGCCGCACAACAACGGGCTGCCAGGCAAACCCTAAACCCTAAACCCTAAACCCTAAACCCTAAACACTAAACACTAAACCCTAAGTTCTAAGGCTCACGCCCACGCGTTGACGCAAAAAAAAAAGAAAAGCAAAGGGATGCAGTAGCCAGCGTAACTTCATATCTCAACCCTCTACACAAGACTGCTCGAAGGAAACCCTAAACCCTAAACCCTAAACCCTAAACCCTAAAGCTTAAACCCTAGGCGTGTTGGCAGCGCCAGGGTCCATTTATGCTTCGCAGCAGGCATTTTTGAATCGAAGTGTTTAGAGTTTAGGGTTTTGAGCTTGGGATGTAGCGTCTGTGATTTAGGGTTTAGGGTTTAGGGTTTAGGGTTTGGGGTTTGGCTGCAGCTCTACTCCGCCACTGCGGCTGTCTTTAGAATCGATTTGGCGAAGGGCCGTCGAGATGGTGGAGAGGCTGACGGGCTTCACTTTAGTTCCTGTTCATCCTGCCCCTGGTAATCTAGGGTTTAGGGTTTAGGGTTTAGGGTTTAGGGTTTAGGGTTTAGGGTTGTGTGCTTTTTAGAAATTCATTGCACTGCTGAATATGAGCGACTGTGGCTAAAATTTCAACGGCTTATGCTATACCCTTCAGGGTTGAGGGTTGAGGGTTGAGGGTTTAGGGTTTAGGGTTTAGGGTTTAGGGTTTGTTGCAGGTGAGACTTGGCACTGGAGTGTCTTAAAGTATGAGCTGCATGCAGCTACAAAAAAGAATAGAGGGGCCCCTCGCGGGGTTTTGTTTGTTGATTTATGGTGGAGACAAAATAAGACAAGACTGCTGGCTCAGTTTACAATTAGAGGTTCTAAGCAAATGAATTACCCTCTCCAGCAGGTACAGAAGGAAAGGGTTTAGGGTTTAGGGTTTAGGGTTTAGGGTTTAGGGTTTGAGGGAGTCGTTTTTAGGGTTTAGGACTACGGGCGCAGGGTTTAATGCTAAGAGGGTAGGTTTAGGGGTAGGGGAATAGGGTTTAGAGCCAAGGGGTTCGATACAAGGGTTTAGGGTTTAGGGCTTAGGGTTTAGGGTTTAGGGTTTGTGTTTAGGGTTGGGAGCTTGGGGGGCCCCTTACTCGCGCATGCGTTGCTGAAGAGAATGGATGCCTCAGACAAATTCCTTGCTGCGCTTTAATCTCAAATTTTGAACCACCGCGCCGGTTCCATGCCTTGGAAACAGGTAGGGTTTAGGGTTTAGGGTTTAGGGTTTAGGGTTTGGGTTGGAGGGGAGGCATTGACGCTGCGCATTGTCTCCTGAAAGATTGTTTTGTATCGATCTTAAGCTAACGGTCTTGGGTTTGGGGTTTAGGGTTTGGCGTTTAGGGTTTAGGGTTTAGGGTTTAGGGTTTGGGTTGCAGGGTGGGACATTGAAGCTGCGCATTCTCTGCTGAAAGATTGTTTGCTAACAAAAGAAGACAGCGTTCATCTTCTGCATGAATTGGGTCATGTTATTCACGGACTTTTATCTCGAACGGAGTTGCAGCATTTATCAGGCAAGAATAATATAAACCCTAAACCCTAAACCCTAGCCTCCAAACCCTAAACCCTAGAAGGGGCCTACACTTCAGGGTTTAAGCTGCCTGGGCAAGCACAACGTAGGTGGACAGCGAGGGTTTAGGGTTTTGAATAGAGGGTTGGAGCTCACGACCTTAATGGGGGTTTTCTTTTCTGTTTTAGGGTTTAGGGTTTAGGGTTTAGGGTTTAGGGTTTAGGTGGGGTGTACGTACACCTCAGGCACGCGGGGAGCCGTCGATTTTGCTGAATTTCCCTCGCATTTATTTGAATGCTTCGCCCCCCAAATATTTAAACAAAAAAGTAATTTTGCTGAGGCCCCCGAGCGAGGGTTTGTTGGGTTTCATATGGCTCACCAACTGCAGCTCGCGCTGCTCGACCGCGTAAACCCTAAACCCTAAACCCTAAACCCTAAAGTCTGCTAAACCATGATATGCCGTTGTTTCGTCGCGGGATTAAGCAACGATTGAAACCCTGATAAATTCTGTAAACCCTAAACCCCAGATGCCCGTCTCACCTATATTGAGGAGAAGAGAAGTAGAGTGATGTCTGCGTCAACATTCGAGCGGGTTAGGGTTTAGGGTTTATTATGTTTAGGGTTTGTGATTTAGGGTTTAGAGTTTAGGGTTTGTGTTTTAGAGTTTAAGGTTTGTGGTGTAGGGTTTGGGGTCTGCATTTTGGGGTTTAGAGTTTGTGTGTTCGGGTTAGCGCTTGCGATTAAGGGTTTAGGGTTTAGGGTTTAGGGTTTAGGGTTTGCATGCAGGCGTTTTATAGCTACATTCCTCGTGAGGGTTTGCTTCTGCCTGGAGGGGAGATGTGTATGGAGACTGCAGCGGAGGAGTTGCAGCATTTATTGGGGTGTATAGACAGCTGCTTTGAACAGAGAGACATCTTATCAAAGAAATATGAAAACATCTGTTCAACACCCCTCTGGCAGCTAATTGGAAGGCCCCCCTTTAGGGCATTTGAGCACTTGGTGCACTACGGCGCAAACTACTTCTGCTACCTCTTCTGCAGGTAAACCCTAAACCCTAAACCCTAAACCCTAAAAGGGGACTAGCTTCGTTCTCAGTGGCAAGAAAGGGAGAGAGGCCCTGGAGGCTCCAGCACCAGATGCGTGGTTTTGCAGTTGCAGGGTTTAGGGTTTAGGGTTTGTAAGTATATATATATATATATATATATATATATTTATTTATTTGCATGCGCAGGTGTTTTTCGAGCTATGTTTGGAGCAAGGCTATAAACAAGGAGGCAGAAGGAGGAGAAGGGGTTTATCATTTGTTGGAGCTTCTTGAAAAGGGTTCAACAGACTGCAGCGCAGGGCCTCTTTTAAAGTTGTTAGAGAATAAAGAAAAGAAAGAAACCCTTTGCGAGCTGTCTGTACACCCGGAGAGGGTGCCGCTGCACTTTCTCTTTCAAACTTAAACAACAAAAATAAACGCAAATTTATTAGATGAGGGTTTATCTCTAGTGCACTCACATTTGTGCGCTTGCAAGACTTCTAAGTCTTTTTCTAGTCCTAAACCCTAAACCCCAAACCCTTACTACTTCTGCTACCTCCTCGGCAGGTAAACCCTAAACCCTAAACCCTAAACACAACAAAAGGGTCTAGTTATTACTGGGGTTCTGACTATAACTTCTACTCTTTTGTTTAGTACAGTGAAGCAGTACGAACACTAAAAAAACAATAAATTAAAATTTATATTCAGGGTTAAGAGGGGTTCTACTGTTTTGGGTTTACAGTGTAAATGGCTGCAAAAAAAGAAAAGTAAAATATCAATAAGCTCCCCTGATAATGCTGCTTGTACCTCATAACGAAATAATAGATGGAGTAATTAAGTCCAAACAATATGCAGAATCTTTGCAGGCAATCAGAACAAACAGATCCTCGTAAGATGTACGAAGGTGCGTGCATAATAAGGTTTCTTCAGGTGTGCAGCGGGGTGTATATACACACGAATCAGATGCAACTGAAGTGCGCTAATGGGTATAAATGCAGCGGGTGGCAATTGAATAACCATAAAACATTCCTGAATATTCAATTCAATAGTGCTGAAATCTTTTTGTTTAACGGTCTTCGTACCGAGGGAGACCAAACCAGCGACGCATATAGAAGGAAGAAGCAGCACCAGGGGGGCACTACGGAAACCTGATATACTAACGGTATTCAAAAGATGGAAAATAAAACATAAATTCAAATAAATAAAATAAGAAGTGTTACTCTTATGCGGCGGAGAAACGTCGATATTAAATTCAATGCCTCTTGGTCCGGTGTACATACACCGAACGCTCGCGTGCAAGTTGCAATGCTGCACGAGGGAGTGGGTAGAATATGGAAATTAAGAGATAAAGAACATTTGCATGCACTGTTTCATAAACTATTCCTAATTTTATTTGAAATTCCCTAAAAAAGAACGCTAAAATCACTCAGCTTTCCTCAGAAAGAATGGCGATGAAGAAGAAACCAAACACGCAGCAGCCCCAGGAGAGTCGGTAGAATCTTCTAAGACCTGCAAGGTATTGTTGCATTATTTGCAGAATGGATCATGAATTATCTTTAAATAAGTTATATTCTTTCTTTGAATTGAAGGAAACCTCAAAATTAATGGGGATATTCCGGTGGTTTCACTACTAGGTGGACATGAGGCGTGAGCCTCTTGACTAGCCGGCCTTCTCAAGTTGCAGCAGATTCTGCATTTTATTGTATATCTGCTCTGCTTTTGTAATTCTTATTGAGTTATCTTCACTGAGAGCCTACGAAACATAATATTCCTCGTTCAACTCTTGCAGCCGGGGGGCCCCAGCCTTCGTGCGCAACCGCTGAGGTTCATTGTCCGTACACCGCAGCTTTGGCTTGGCGCCTTTCAAAGCCTGTATCAGGTGATCTATCATCTTAACTTCTGTTTTTTCTTGCTTTACTTCCGTCTATAGAAGCACCTGCTGCCTGTGCAGACCGTACTCCGTTTACCATCATCGTTTTGCTGGGAGGTTTGCGTCATTTTTCTGTTGTTTTTCTCTGCGTTTCCAGGTGTATATACACCTCAAAGTGTATCTACTGAGCTCGCTCGCCTATAGCAGCGACCATGGCGAGCCTCAGTCTTGAGAAGGAGGGGAGGCAGCGGTCGCTTAAAGAGCAGCAAAGAAAGCCCGATGATGATGATTCTGAGGACAACCAATCGCAAGCCTCTGAAAGTGCGGCAAATTGATTAATCAAATTAGTTGAAGGAGACATAAGGCTGCAGATCTAGGGTTTAGGGTTTAGGGTTTACGGTTTAGGGCGTGCGTGTGTGTGTGTGCGTGTGTGTGTGCGTGTGTGTTGTGTACGCGGGGGTTATATATATATACATATATATTGTATATCTTTCTGCTGTCTTTTGATGTGTACAGACACCGGAATTGACCCTGGTGGAGGCCGCACATTGATTAATGGCTACAGCAAAAGAACAAAGAAGCTTCCTTGGTCTGTTCTGCTGGCTTATGCAGCCCCGATGATAGGCGCAGGAGGCATGAATTTCACATTAACAACATTTGCTGCATACTTCTATACAGACACTATGGGGCTACCCCCAGGTACCTAAACCCTAAACCCTAAACCCTAATTCATGTTTTCATTACCTTTTGCTGTTTACTCCGTCTGTCTGTCTCTTCTTTTGCTGTGCGTTTCTTTGTTTGATGTTTTGTTTGTCTATATTTGTTTTAATTTTATTTTATTTTCTCCTTTTCTCTCCCAGCCGTCCTTCTTAATGGCCGTCCCTACCACTTTGCATGCATGCATGCATGCATGCATGCATGCATGCATGCAAACAGATAAAACCTACAATCATGCACGCATGCATGCATGCCTGCATGCAAACAGATAAACCCTACATCTATGCATGCATGCATGCATAAATGCATGCTAAAACAAACAGATAAACAGATAAACCCTACATGCAAGTGTGCATGCATGACAAAACAGACATACCCACTCTCCTTGCATACATGCATGCATGCATGCATGCATGTATGTATGTATGCATGCATGCATGTATGCATGGAGGTTGTTTGTATTTAGACGGCGTTTATTTTGTGCGTATTCTGCTGAAAAGGTAAATACAACAAATAGTAGTTTATTGATTGCAGATAGTTTATATTTGTTTAATATTCTTTTTGTTTTTCTTTTTGTTTGCAGGTATCGTAGGGAGGGTGCAGCTGTGTTTAATGTGTATGTATGCACTGTCTGAACCTATCTTCGGCTGGCTAAGCGATGTTACCGGGGGGTGGGTGCGAAGAAGATGCGGAAGAAGAAAGCCTTACTTAGCTGTCTCTGCTTTTATGCATGCGGGTATGCAATAACGAATATATATATATATATAAACATATATATATAAATATATATATATATATATATATATATATATATAAATATATATATGTATGTG